CAGGTATGTGTTCTTTTGTTTCCGGTTTTTTCTAATGATTTTTGATGATATTCAGCCTATTTTTTCGCTTGTTTAACCTGAAATTTCCTTGATTTTCCTTCATAATTCTTGTTTCCAGGGGATGAAGACGATCGTCGCTTTGGGGCTTCTCGCGCTCGCCACCGCTGCCAGCGGCCAGTTTCTTCAAGGTAACCGCGTCTCGGCAAATCGATTTTCGATTGAAAATTCATATTTTTCAGACTGCACTAACGCTCTGGACGGTTTGTATGCCATCGGCAACTGCGAGTCTCAATTTCTGACGTGTTCCGGTGGCATCGCTCGTATCATGGACTGCCCAGCCGATCTCATCTACAACGAGCCACTTCTCATCTGCGATTGGCGTCACAACGTCGTCGGCTGCGAGGGATCCGGAGAGGCTTCTGGTGAGCAATCTGGAGAAGGATCCGGTGAGGCTTCTGGAGAAGGATCTGGTGAAGCTTCTGGAGAAGGATCTGGAGAGGCTTCCGGAGAAGGATCCGGCTCCGGCGAGGGATCAGGAGAGGAAAACAACGTTTGCGAAGGACTCGAGGACGGCGCCTACTCTTCCGGCGGATGTACCACCTACTACTTCTTCTGCACTGACAACACCGCCCGTTTCCTCAGCTGCCCAACTCCACTCTTCTACGATGTCGCCACTCAAAAGTGCGCCTGGAAGGCTCTTGTTGAGGAGTGTAACGGGGAAATCATCATTGACGGATCGGGAGAGACTTCTGGAGAAGGATCCGGTGAAGCTTCTGGAGAGAACTCCGGTGAGAACTCCGGTGAGGGATCCGGCGAATTTGAGCCAACATGCGACGGAAAGGCTGATGGAATCTATCCAAACGGAGTTTGCGTTCCAAATTTCCTCACCTGCTCCGGTGGAATCGCTCGTGTCATGAACTGCCCAGCCTCGTTGATCTTCAACCCAGACATCCTTGTCTGCGACTGGCCACGCGACGTTGCTGAGTGCCACGGACTCTCAACACCAGCTCCAGTTTGCGAGGACGACGGATACTTCTCATTCGGACAGTGCTCTTCCTCGTTCACCGCTTGCACCAACGGACGCGCCATCGTCATGTTCTGCCCAGCCGGGCTCAAGTTCTCTCAAGCTAACCAGCGATGCGACTACGACGATCTTGTCAACGAGTGCCAAGAGGCTTCTGGAGAAGGTAGGTGAACACCCGGGGGCCAGTTTCCTAGTAATTTCGTTTCAGAATCTTCTGGAGAGGCATCTGGTGAGCAATCTGGAGAAGGATCGGGTGAGGCTTCTGGAGAGGCTTCAGGAGAAGCTTCCGGAGAGAACGAGTGTGTCTCCTTGGACAATGGACTCCACGCAATTGGATGCTCGCCACGCGTCCTCTCTTGCCAAAACGGACACGTCGACATCTTCGAATGCCCATCCAGCTTGGTCTTCAACGAGCAGACTCTCATTTGTGATTACCCACAGACTTCCTTGAAGTGTCTTATCGAAGGTAGGGAATCATCTACTTTAGATCCTTGCTTAGAACACCGATTTATTTCCAGATACCCTCCTCATCGATGAGACTCCAATCACTCCATTCGACTGCTCCACCAATGGACTCTTCTCCGATGGCCTCTGCTCCGCCACCTACCATCAGTGCTCCGCCGGACAGCTCATCAACTTCACATGTGCCGAGACTAACGCCGTCTTCTCTGCCGCCAACGCCGAATGCGTCGACTCGTCGACTCTCCTTCAATGCCACTAAACGGGAGAATCCAATAATTTTCTACTTACCCACCCCTCTAACACTAACGCCTTCCCACTCTGTCAAATATATTGCTCCCCGAAGAATTCCCACCCGGTTAATTAATGCTTGTATATATTGCACATTGCTCATATTGAGAAATGAAAACTCATTGATGATTCTGTGTTTTGTGTTTGATGGCTCGAGCTCGGAAAGGGCTGTTTCTTTTTTGTATCCCAGGAATAAGGCGGTGGCCGGTAAGAAAACAGGTTCTGAGTTCGATCTACGCGGTGGTCAGATTTTTTCATTTATTAAAAGAAAATTTAAACAAAATGGACTGCATAACAACTTGAATGATAATCCAAGCTCTTGAACATCGACCGCGCAAACCGGAAGTCTTCAATGGAATCGACAGACTTGAAGTTTCAGGTCCAACTTGTTTTGAAAAAATAGAGAAATACGAGAGTTCGTCATAAATAAAGTAACCACTTTAATATAATATTGTCGAATTAAAAAAAAAAACTAACAAGGGAAGTGTTTTCAGACGGGGGTTGAGAACTTGTTGAAAATTTCAGTGCTTATAGTTTGAGACATTCTCTACACGATGTCAGAGATATCTCGTTTCCGGATTCACCAGGAAGCTGAAAATCTTCGTCTGAAAATTCTCTCCCAATCTCGGCGCGCACTTTTCCCCCTCTCCTCTACGCCCTCCGCGCCAGAGGAAAATGTCGGTTGTGTGGTGTTGTGGTAAGAGAGTGACTCATTCACAGGTGATTCGTGCAGCGTCTATAATAGGTTAAATATTGTTCGCGGAAAATCGCCATGGGTACATCGGAACATGCCTGCCGCAGGCCAATTACAGACCAATCGCGAACGCGCCACCGCAAACGACCAATATTCCGCCTCTCGCAAGCAAATCTCCTACAATTGGCTTGTCGCGAGGGCTATAAATGGGATATATTTTTTCGAATCTGGAAGCTAGTAGCTGCTAAAAATTGTTTATTCCACAGAAAAAACAAGGAAAAACGAAAAAACAATTAATTAAAATATATATTATTCTCTTCCGCTGTCATCGTATTGGCTGGAACGGCGTCGAAGCTTCTACTTCTGTCGGCTTTTGTCTTTTTCGATGACGGTCCAAGTGGGGGAGGAGAAGACGCTGTAGAATCTCGGTTAGCAAACTGAAATGATATATCGAAATTTTAAGCTCCCAATAATTTGTGTACTATACCTTTGACATAAGTTATCGGCTGGAAATTTTCTCAAAATCAGCGAATTTGACACTTCCGACTGAAATCTCAAGTTTTTTCTCAGATTTTTTTTCAAATCTACCCACCGTTCCAGTTTTTCTTCCTTCCTCTTTCTCAGTCGTTTTTTTTCCGGAGGACTCAGTGGACATACCAGAAAATTGAGAATTTCCTGGCTCTCTGTAAAATTGGATTTGAAATTCGAACTTTCTGAACGCTTCTTACCTTTTGAAAGTACAGTAGCAGTGAATTGTGAGTAATTGGGTCGTTTATAGCTCTTCATCTGTAATTGGTCAATCACGAATCACCTGTGATTAGGAGTGACTGTGATGGTTCGAACCCCACTGTGGTAAAACTTTTTTGCTTTTTTCGAAACGAATCTTTGATTTCCAGTTTGGCTCTTTATACACTTTATGATACTTATTTCATGAAATTACAAGGTATTCAAAGTAAAAAAGAGTTTTAATGAGAACTTGATGAAAAATTTAATAATGATCTTTTCGATCAGTCCTTACACTATCCTATAGTTTAAGAAAGAAACTTTTAACCTCTGGAAAGTTTTCAATATTGCTCTTTTCGAGATGTAGTAATGCTAGATCGATCACATACAATATTTGAACCTTTTTCTATAGATTTCAGTCAATTTCAAGCAATATTTGAGAAGTTAGGGGTTGTCAAAGTTCAAGCAATAGGGACATTTTTTAGAACTTTTCAAAAAAATTTCAAAAAATCACTTTTAGAGTGTGGGGGCCCCCGTGGTGATTTTTTTCAAAACTTCTCAAAAAAAATGTTTTTTTTTGAAAACGTTCAAAAACTTATTTAGATGATAGAGAAATGTTCAAAAATGAGTTTTACATTTAAAAAATACTGAAAAACTAGTTTTAAAGCTCGAAAAATGCACGTTTTTGGTAAAAATTTAGCACTAAAATCACTTTGAGAGCCCATATTTCGATTCCTATTGGATCCGGGGATGAGATATTGCTGACACCGTTTTCAGCATGTTTGAAAGTACCTTTTTACCAATTTTGAGCAATTTTCTCACCCTCCCTCTGAAAACACTTCCCTTGTAAGACCTGGAAATTTTCGCGGGACAGAGAATAGAGAACAGTTTGTATGAAAAAGGTAAAAAGAGCGTAAAAAGTTATCTCAGAATCCAAGAGGAATAGATGATAAAAATTTTTATAAGGAGTTATGCACCAAAACGTACCAAAAAATGGCACAATTTTCAAAAATTCATAACTTTATCAGTTTATGTCCGTTCGTTGAAATTCAAAAAACAGTAGATAGCCAATCAACTGAACGTTTGAAAGAAAATTGTTTTGCTTTTTTTCCTATTGATTGGAATATTGATTTTTTGAAAAAACCAAACATTTTTTCAATATCTCAAGAATCCCAAGTTAAATTTTTCTCTCATTGTGACTATTGAATTCAGCACATTTGATGTACTAAAGAAACATATCAATACCTCGGGGGAAATCATACTCACACAAGTTATGCCGAAAAATATCGATTTTTAGCACTTGGCTGCTTTGAATTCGTTGTCCTCGGCGGCCGGTATGGTGAGGGGCATACTTGTTTTTGTGGTTTTTGGTACGTTTTGGTCCATAACTCCTTATAAAAAATTTCTATCATCTATTCCTCTTGGATTCTGAGATAACTTTTTACGCTCTATTCAACCATATAGGTCTCGATTTTTTTCGAGGGTAACACTTGGGAGTCATTCCATGTCAGATTTCTCAAAGGCGAAAGGACAGCGCTACGTGATTGTTGTCTATAGGAGCAACTGTTTCTGCGAACACCATGACGTCAAAAAAGACAAATATCAAAAAAGCTTATTTCACGTTCAAACTTTCCGGTTTAGGAACAATCAAACTTTCAGTTTTTGGGACGGATCAACAAAACCAAGAATCACCTTTGTTAGGTTTCTAACAGAAACAGAAATTTGTCTGTTTTCGTTTGTTCTAGTATTGAATAAAAATACTTTGAAATTGATGGGGCCAGAACTAGATGAGACCAAAAAGGAAATTCAGAACATTTTGAGATTACGGTAGTTTTCGTTCGGAGACCTTCAGCCACGGCCGCCAGCATTTCTCTCACACCGCACCGATTTTTAATACCAGTTCAAAGGTGGTGTGCGGTGAAAAATTGTATTGCTTTATTTTGTGGAGAAATCCATGTAGATTCCCATAAAAACAAAGAAAAAATTCAAAAAATTCCTTCATTGAGAAAAACGGCATCGAAAAGTCAAAGTGGGAGGAAATTAACAAAAATTTTTGAAATCTTTAAAAATCATCAGAGAAAACACTAAAAATCAATAAAATTCGAATTTAGCGCGCTTTTACCGGATCCCATTTTGACTTTTCGATGCCGTTTTTCTCAATAAAGGAATTTTTTTGAATTTTTTCTTTGTTTTTATGGGAACCTACATGGATTTCTCCACAAAATAAAGCAATAAAATTTTTCACCGCACACCACCTTTAACACTTTTATGAAAAAGTTAAATCAGCAACCCATAAACAGGCGTCAGTTATCTACGAGAAAAGTGAAACAGCAATGTTTGTGGTTACACTAAAATTTTCCAGAATTCCAGTGTTGTGTTGTTTCAAAAACTTCCCGATTCCGATGAAATTAAACTTCTGTAATTAAAATCGGTTGGCAAAATTGGCAAAGAACGGATCAACAGAACCGAGCGTCACTTCTTGAAACCTGTTAGAGCACCCTAATAGTAAAGCCTTTGTCGTTTAAACTTATGCATTTTTAAACATTTTCAGAAATAAATACAACGGGAATTCTAGAGTTTTATCGATGATAGATTTTCAAATTAGTTTTCAGCATGAATTCAGTAAGTTTTTTCAGTCAAATTTTCTGCAAAAAAACGCATGGAAAATTAGAATGATTCCTGAAATATAATATCCCTTCTAGTACACATGTTACGGAAGTTTGAAATGTGAAATGGTAACTTTTCTGTTTCCGTTACACAGTTTTATTGATTCTGGTTTGGATTATTTTGATATTGAGTTTTGATGGACGGAAAATATATTGCTCGAATGTTCCATCTTTTTTCTCATGTTTGTCTATTTTGAATGTGATCACTGAATTGTTTTTTGTTTTCAGACCACTGTTCAATGTCTAATTTTTGTTTTTGCAACATTGGTTCGTGTTCATATTTGATGCACCGTTTGAAACTTCTGAAAATTCGTTGAAATTTTTGAAGAAGTAACAATCAATTTACTGGTTTAATTCCCAAACTTATAAACTTCTTGAAACATTAAATTTTTTTCTCCATGACTTTTCTCAAACTATAACTTCTTGTTTCTTGTACTAAAGTCTAGGATCCAGGTCCAACAACTTTCTCGACAAAACTATGTTCCCGCCAAAAAACGTGATTCTAGCCAGTATATTTTTTGACCAACCAACAAGAGACGCAGAGAGTGGAAGGAAAGTCAACTAGTAGAAAAGAGAAAAAAGACAAGGACATTTCCATGTATTTCTTTTGGTCTCTCTGTTTCTCTTTTTTCCTTATCTCCTTTTTTTTTTCTTGTTGTTGATCTATTGATTCCAAGAATTTTACTTTTTCAGAAGCGCCCTTTTTTTCCATTGAAGAATGAAACTTCCTCCATTCAATTCACCAATTTTCAGACAGGTTGGTTTGTTTCTTTTCAATGTTGGCTTCAATTTTTTGAGAATTTTTGAATTCTATGTTTTCCGGTCATCGACCCAATAACATTTCTAAACATTTGAATTCCTTAAATTGAGTACTTGAAACAGCAAGCTTTTTTGCAGCTAATCGAATTCAAATCCAACACGTACACCTACATTTTGGGATGTCATAAGACTGGAAAAGCGGCGATTATTGATCCAGTTGTGGATACGGCCTCCAGAGATGTTCAAATTCTTCGTGATTTGAATTTGGACTTGGTTTATGGATTGAACACTCATGTACATGCGGATCATGTCACTGGGACCAATGAGTTGAGAAATGTTAGTTTTTGATTTTTCAAAAATTAATGTTTTGAAATTATATGAAATTTGATGAAATTTTGAAAGAAAAATTTCAGACTACAAAAACATTGTTAGGGTTTTCAAATACTCTTTTTTTGATATGGAACATTCCGAAAATCGAAAAATTCGAGGTTTTTTTTGAGAACATCAAATTTTGGATTTTTTCAGTTTTCAAGATGTGTTCCATCAGAAAAAGCATATTTTGAAACCCTAAAATTGTTTTTCTAGCCTGAAATTCATCCAACCGTTACGAAAAAAATTGCGGAAATTATCCTGAAACAAAAAAGCGAAACTGTGGGAGAGAATTGCTGTGGCCGAAGGTCCCACAACGACAACTACAGTAACCTAATAATATGTATATTTTCCGTAATAAGATCTCGATTTTCGTTCGTTTTTATTCAAAATGTTGGTCGCTATCTAAGGAGGAAAGTAACAAAAAACTCGATAAAATGCAGTGAAAAACGAAAAGAAAAATACGGAAAATGAAATAACTTTTGGGTTGAAATAACTTTAAGGTAGTGGTCGTTGTGGTACCTCCGGCCACGGCTACCGCCGTTTCTCTTTCATAGCTCCAATTTTTTGTAGTAAAATAGTATTATCAGGATTATTTGAATTAAAAAAATTTAAATAGAAAATTCAGATTCTCAGGATTCTGATTCTCTTCAATTCAGATTCTCTTTCACCAAGTCATAAAAACCATTTCAATATAGCATTCCAGGCGTTCCCCTCAATGAAGTCAGTATTGTGCTCCAAGTCGGGAGGAGAAGCAGACAAGTACGTGTCGAATGGAGATGTGATTGAAGTTGGAGGACTGAAATTAGAAGTTCGGGAGACTCCAGGACATACAAATGGATGTGTTAGTTATGTGGAACATCATCTGAAATCCATTTTCACTGGAGATGCACTTCTGATTCGAGCATGTGGAAGGACTGATTTTCAGCAAGGTTCGGGAAATTTACTGTTTCAGAATTTTTAGAAAATTTGAAGTATGTGGGTTGAATTCAGTAAACAGAAGTTTACAATTGCACAGAAGATACCGTTTTTCAAAAAATTTCACAGAAAAGTGTTCTGAAATATATTTATCAAAATCCCTGTAAACTTACTTACTTGCTGAAACATCGAAACATTTTTCAGGAAACCCATCCACTCTATTCGATTCGGTCCACAAGCAAATTTTTTCGCTTCCCGAAGATTATGTCATTTACGTCGGGCACAATTATGATGGGATTTTGCAGACTACAGTAAGCCAATTCACTCTATTGTTAAACCATAACGTTTGTCTTTTTGAGGTATGGGAAGAGAAGAATCTGAATCCACGACTGACGAAAAGCAAAGAGGAGTTTGTGAAATTCATGAAGAACATGAAACTACCGTATCCGAAACAAATTGATGCAGCTGTTCCAGCGAATATGAAGGATGGAAAGGGTGGAAAGAATTAATTTGAAAATTTTGATTGAAAATTGAATAAATTTTTTTTGGCATTTAATTTTTTTCAGACAATTTAAAACATGATGCTTTAGCTTTTGTTGTAAATTGAGCGTTAATTACGGTTTGACAGGATCAAAGTTGTTGGAAAAAGTTCTCCAGCAATCTGAACTCAAGGCACAGTTTTTAAAGGGGGACTCCGACCAAAAATTTTTATTGCCTTAAAATGTTTCAAGAAAAAATGTATTTTCCTAATATTGTTGCGAAAAAATTCAAAAAAATCCTAAATCCCGGAAAAACTGCGTTGAAATAAAATAGGATTTGAATTCCCGCGCAGTGAGAAACCTAATCCACGGCATCATAGCGCCTTTCTTACATGGAAAATTTTCCGGATTTTTTCGGTTTTCATGTCCGTCAGGTAAAAAACGTAAAATACCACTGTCGGCCACTTGAAAAAACGGCTGTCAGGCGCCGTGACCTAGGTTTCTCACTGCGCGTGAATTCAAATCCTCGTCCCTCCTAGCAACTTTTTTTTTGAAATTTTTTCGCTTTTAACGTCATTTTTCGGGGATTTAGGAT